CCTCCTCCTCCTCCTCCTCCTCCTCCTCCTCCTCCTCCTCCTCCTCTTTGTTTCCCCACCTCGCTCGCCGCCGATTGGTAATCCCCCCGATCCTGGGGTAGTGCGAGTAGTGGTCCTCCTCCCGCATCTGTTTCCCGCATATGTAGCACCAGTACGTGTGCCCCTGGCACCTCGGGCCAGGAGGGCCCTCGCCGGTGCGGCGCGGGGCGGGGGCGCGGGAGCAGAAGGGGGGGGCCGCCGAAACGAGGGGCGGGGAGGGGCCGCAGGAAGAGCGGGAGGCAGGGAGGCCGAGGAGGGGATAGTACTTACGCGGCAGGAGGGGCGGCGGAGGAGGGAGGGCGGAGGAGGGGCGCCCCTCCCTCGCCATTCCCCGCGTGGCCCATCCGGTCGGCCCCCCTCGAAGGTTCCCCCCCCCCCTCCTCTAGACCCGAAGCCCTCCCCCCCAGTTCCCCCTTTTATGCTTTTCCCCACAGAGGCTCCCCCCCTCCCCCCTCTCTGGCCCCCCCGCACCCGAAGTCCCCCCCCCACCCCATCCCCCCCTTTGCCTTCCAGCCCCCGGAAGCTGCCCCATCCCCACCTCTGCCTTCCCCTGCGGTCGGACCTAGGACCGAAGAACGTCCTTCAAGAGCACGAGACCCTGCGCCTGCCAAAGCACCGCAGACCAGAAGATCACCCGAGGATGCCCTCCCCCAGGATGCGCAAGAACATCCGACAGGCACGAAGAACATGAGGGCACCCTCCCCGAACCGACCTCGATCTCATACTCCGGCCCGACCAGAGGAGAAGGGAGAGATCCGAAGCGGGGCACGGCCAGAGGGGGCAGGGGGGGCTCGCACGGGCGCGGGGAAAGGCAGGGAGCAGCCTGCGTCGCGAAGGAGGTGTGAGGGAGAGGCAGCGGGGGAGGAGAGAGCCGCAGAGATTGGGGGGGAGACTCGCGGCGGGCAGGAAATGGCAGGGTGGCGACGAAAGAGCAGCGAGGGAAAGACGCAGTCATCGTCGTCGTCGAGGACGACGACGACGACGCCGACAACGACGACAACGACGACGACGACGACGACGACGACGACGACGACGACGACGACTCAGACTCCGAAGACGACGACGACGACGACGACGACGATGACGACGACGACGACGACGACGACGACGACGACGACAACGACGACTCCGACGACTCCGACTCAGACTCCGATTCCGATTCCGACTCCGACGACTCCCACTCAGACTCCGACTCCGACGACGACGACACCGACGCCGACGACGACGACGCCGACGCCGACGCCGACGCCGACGCCGACGCCGACGACGCCGCCGACTCCGACGCCGACGCCGACGCCGACGCCGACGCCGACGCCGACGCCGACGCCGACGCCGACGACGACGACGACGACGACGAAGACGACGACGACGACGACGACAGCGGCGACAACGACGACGACGACGACGACAGCCACGACGACGACGACGACGACTCCGACTCAGACTCCGACGACGACGACGGCGACGGCGACGGCGACGACGAGCACGACGACTGATCGCGCCGAAGTCAGAGCTGCCAGGCGCGGGGATTGGGGGGTGCGGGCTCGCCTAGAGGAGCAGCACTGCATGAAGTTGCAGCCGCAGTCCTCGGCGCGCGCTCTCACGGGACAGAGGCGCCCCCGCGGCACCGAGGAGGACTCGATGGTCTCTGCTCGGACTGAGGAAGACGGCGAGGAGGAGTGCCGCGGGTTCGTGTCGTGTCGACACCGCTGGGATCGTTCAACCCTGAACGATCGGCCGTTTCCAGAACGTCAGAACGTGCAACATCGACCGCTTCTGGGTTGCCGTCGGCGTTCCACGTTGAACGCCAGCGGCGGGGTCACCGCCAGTCGGCACGACGCGAACCTGCCGTGAGGGAATTGGAGGGGGACAGCAGCGGCAGGCGACTTCAGGCACGGCTCTCCGCAAGCACGGAACACACAGGCAGGCGGCATGGTGTGGGACCTGCCCTAGGACATGAACAGACTGTAGACGAGTATACCCTTTCTCCGACCTTGCACTGCGCCGCACGCAAGAGCCGCATTGTCTGTGGACGCATCCTTCTGCTTGCTCGCTGCGCCGCGACCGAGGGAGGGAATCGGGCAGGAACTGCTGTGCCTCAAAGTCCAAGGTGGCGTCTCCGGTGTCTGGCGACGTATGCATTTTGCGGGGTGCCTCGTGAAGCTGCAGGCCGGCCTGGCCAGCTCCGCGGCGCCCCAGGAACGGTCGCCAGGAGGCCCGTAACCACCAAGCGCGTTGCACTGCCCAAGACTTCCATAGTCATCACAGGAGTAGCGTGTGCTGGAAGCCCAGCCTTCAGGATCGTCGTCGCAAACTGGGCTTGGCGTCGAGCCTGAGTATGGAACAAGAGGAAGCAGCATAAACATGAACTTTTGGCGCTCCGCGCGGATTCCTTGGATCTGCGCTGGGCCCCCCTCCCTGGCGCGCGGAGCGCGCCAGGGGCGGCGCTGGAGGCGCCGCCGGCGGGGCCCAGCGCGGATCCACGAAACCCGCGCGGAGCGCCAACAAATTATATTTGTGCAGTTGTTTCTTCTTCGAGAGTGGGTGCAGGCGCTGGTGCCGGGGCGCTGCGTGGGACGAGGAGACCGACGGCGTGGAGATCGACCTCGTGAAAACCCGCGCGGGAGACGCACCTGGGGGGGAACCCTGAGCACCCTGAACGCAGCAACTCACTTGACGGCCGCGGGAAGCTACCGCGCAGCGCGCGGAAGCGAGGAAGCCCGGGGCACCCTGACGAAGAGCATCTGGATTCTTGAGGCGCGCCCCCACTAGAGGTGCAGGCGTTGTTTGTCTGGGCGTGAGCTGGAGTCGAGCGCCAGCTCCCAGAGCGCGCGTGGCAACGTGCGGGGACCGAACGAGGACCCGAACCAACGAAGGCGGGGGCCACAGAGGGAGAGACCGGCCACGGAGGGCGGAGGGAGCGACCGAGGACGGAAGCAGGGCCCGAAGACCACCGAGGGGACAGCGCAGCCAGGCGCCAACACCAGCGGCAGGCGAGCACGCAAGCAAGGCAGCTAAGCGGCCGCTGGTACCCTCTCTCACAGCGGACGACGGCGTGGATCTCGACCTCGTGAGCCGCACCCACCCCGAGGGCGATCGCGCGCGCGCGCCGCGCCCTCTGGCCTGCCTGCCCCTCCTGGCGGGTGGAGGTCTGCTGGGCGCGGCAGCCGAAGACGCACTGCGTGCGATGCCGGGCCGAAGTCTTGAGCAAATAATGGCGACCGAGGGAGGAGGGGGTAGGAGGAGGCGGTAGGAGGAGGCGGTAGGAGGAGGCGGTAGGAGGAGGAGGAGGAGGAGGAGGAGGAGGAGGAGGAGGTAGGAGGTAGGAGGTAGGAGGTAGGAGGTAGGAGGTAGGAGGTAGGAGGTAGGAGGAGGAGGAGGAGGAGGAGGAGGAGGAGGAGGAAGGAGGAGGAGGAGGAGGAGGCACAGGAGGACTAGGAGGACGACGACGACGATAAGAATGGAGACGCGAGGCCCCGAAACGCCTCCGAGCTGCCCCGAAGCGGCCACAGAGTGGCTCCAGGTCTTGAGCCAAAATGGCTAGTGAGGGAGGAGGCGGTAGGAGGAGCAGGAGGAGGTGGACGACGACGATAAGAATGGAGACCCGAGGCCCCTGAACGACTCCGAGCTGCCCCGAAGCGGCCACAGAGCGGCGTCGCGACCCAGGACAGCCCCGAAGCGGCACAGGATACGTTCAAGACAGCACAGGACCCAAGACAGATCCAAAACGGGCCCAGGATAGCCCCAGGACACTTCCTAATAACCCAAATCGTTCTGCCACTCCTGTGCCAACGAAGGTCCCCAGATGGCCTCCAAGGAGTCTCAGGGCTACGTCAAAATTCCATCGAAGCGGACCTCCATGGTACATCCGAAGACCAGTGAACAAGGCGGGCATACAGATCCATATTCCATATCGGGGGAAAACACGCTTGATGCAGAGCACTGGCGACCAAGACTCTTCCGATTAAGTTTTGTGCTATGGGCGAACAGTGCCCTCCTGGGTACAAATGCCTCGCATGTGTTGCCATTGAATCCCAGGCCCGCGATCACCACGAACACGCTGCGACGTCATGGTGATGGTGATGAGTCTTCTGGATTAATTCCATCACCACCACCATCACCATCACCATCACAACCATCATGAAGCATTGGGCCATGTTACACAAAGAGCGGGAATCGCAGAGACATGCACTCTCCGACACAAAAGAACATAATCACGCTCACACCTCACCCCATGTGTTCGCCCGTCCCATCATCCTCGTGTTCCTTCTCCTACTCCCCCCTCCTACACCTCCACCTCCCTCCTGCTCATCCTCAAACTCGACCGCGCCCCGACCAGTCGCCGAGACCGGATCCAGCTGTCGCGACGGGGGCCCCCCGAGGCCAAGGAAAGGCAGAAAGCGGCAAAGTCCACATCCTGCCCCCCCCCCCCCATGCGAGACATACGGCTTGCCGAACCCTTTCCCCTTGCCGGCGGCAGAGCTGCGCAAGAGTGTCCTTCTCCGAGGGGGCAGCGCACACCGGGCACCGCCGCCAGTGCTGCTCCGCCATGAGCTGACGGGGCGCAACTGGAGGCCGCCTCGACAGGGCCAGCGAGGATGGAGTCGGTGGATCGTACCGCATCGCCCATGCATCGGCGACGGCGGCATGGAGAAATCCGTCTCTGGACGAAACCGCATCGCCGATGCATCGGGGATGCGGCGCGTTCCTCCGACCCCGTCTGCTCTGGCCCCACGTGTGCGGCCTGGAGCAATGCAGGTGGAGTTGGGCGTGGCACGGAGTGGAGTGACTGGGGGAGCAGGGGGGGAGGGCAGGTGGGAGGGAAAGGGGAGGGGAAGGAGAAGGAGGAGGAGATGAAAAGGAGGAGTTGGAGGAGGAGGAGGAGGAGGAGGAGGAGGTGGAGGAGGAGTTGGAGGAGGAGGAGCAGCAGCAGCAGCAGGACGAGGAGGAGGAGGAGAAGTTGGAGGAGGAGGAGGAGGAGGAGGAGGAGGAGGAGGAGGAGTTGGAGGAAGAGGAGGAAGAGGAGGAGGAGAAGGAGGAGGAGGAGGAGGAGGAGGAGGAGGAGAGGCAGCAGCAGGGGCAGGGTGCGGAGCATGAGGAGGAGAGGCCCTCTGTGTTTGTGGTGCATGGCCGCAGAAAGCTCGCCGTCACAGAACGACACGGCAGCCATGTTTTCAAATGCCGACGCGTGGACGCCAAGAAGTGGGACAAGAGTTAGGTCGGGCATGTCCCCCTACAGGCCGATTTTGAGCGAAAAATGAAAAGAATATCAGATGTTCAGGAAGAATGGAAGGAGTCAGCAATTCGTGCCTATATGATTTGTTTAAGACTACTTTGGAATATTATTTTGGTAGAGGGACAGGCCCGACTTCAGACAAGAGGTCATGGACGTGTTCTGTCGCACTCGGCGAGCTGGGCATTGGCCGCAAAAGAAGGCATACGGCGCCTCGGACATACCATCCGGAAGGCGGCACAACACTCGATTCGCTGCAGGCCCCAGGCGATCCGAACCAGAAAACTGTTGTGCAGCAACAGGAGGAAGATCTAAATTTGCTCGCCCCGCAGCAACCAGGTCTTGTTGGGAGAGCGGGAGATAGAAGAAAGCCTCTCCTGTTTGATATTACAACGAATGGTCCGCGGAGGTTGCCTCCTCTTCCTCCTCCTCGTCGTCATTATCCAACTCTCCCCGTCCTCCTTCGCATGCTCCTCTTCTTCTTCATGAGCCAGTCTCCTTCATCCTCATCCTCCTTTTCCTCGTCCTGCTCCTCTTCGTTATTCTCCCTCCCCCCTGCCCTCGCGCAACCTCGCCACCCAAACGACTCTCTTGGGCATCGTTCCTGGATGGGCCAGTGGGGATGTTTGTCGCAACCGCAGGCGACGGCGCCAGCGGCGAGTCGAGCCAGCTCGGGCTACGAGCGGAACTAATTGCTGGCGCGCGCAGACACCGACAGAACCTACCGCCCGGGGAAGCTGCTGCGCCGAGGGCAGATGCTGCAACCGCCGGGGGAAGCGAAACAGCGCCGTGGGCGGGGACTGCAAGCTGCTGGGGCTGCCAGGAAGATGCAAGCGTGCGAGTAACCCAGGGGCGTGGCCACCAGGTACGTGACTTGGACCTTGTCACCACCAGGCGCCAGAGGTCGGCGCGCCACAGACGTGGCGAAGCGCGGGGCTGCGTAACAGTCCAGCGCGCAGGCAGCAGACCGACGGTGGAGCACACATGGCCGTACAAGAAGGCTGAAACACTCCTGAGTGAACTGGCGGTCCGAAATCCCAGAGGACCAGCAGTACCGACAGACACGGCCAGCTGTGGCGGTGACTGGGGACCAGATGCCCGGGGAGTGCAAGCATTCGTGCCGGAACTGGTCAGGACGCACGTCCCCTGAGCGCCAAGGTGCCACACCCGACTCCGCGAAACCAGATAGGTGCCAAGCGTGAGGGACAGAGCGGGGTCGCAAGCACCGAGGGCGGCAGTAACCTGAGCCCAGGAGCCCGAGACAAGACGCGTGAGTCGGAGACGTCACGAAAGAAGGGCCAGTGCCAGGGATACCGGGCCAGGCCGTGGCCAGGTCCGGGCAAAGGCCAAGGCGAAAAAAACTACGGCCAACAGCCGGGGCCGAGAGGCACGCCGCGCCCCGCCCCAGCAAGGCCCGCGCACCAGAGATTGACGGCATCTGGGGACCGGGCCCCCAAGGGCGGGGAGGCCGAGCCAGGTGCCGTACTGGGGCCGACACAGGACGACACTGGACCAGCCGCGGGGGGGCTGCGACTCGCCGCGGCCAGGTGCGGCGAAGGCCAGAAAGGGCACTGCTACAGCAGACGGGCAGGTCGCGCGTCGGCACTCTGCGCCTTGCCCCAGCCAGGGCATCGCGCCAAGCATTGACAGCGCCAGGGGCCTGATCCACAAAGGCGGGGGGCTGGCCAAGCGCTGTAAGGCGACCAGGCCCGGTCGTGAGGGGACGGAGAAATAGGGGCACACATGGGGCGACTCCGGCCAACGGCTGCGCGCCCCAAAATGAAACCCTTACTCTCCCAGCTGGGGGTGCCTCCAGCCGCGGGCGTGACTGCGCCGGGGGCACTGCCAAGGAAATGACTAACGGCCACACTGTCTGCAAGAAGAGATGTATGGGGACAGAGGAAGAGGGGAAACGCTGAACGTGTAGCCAGGGACTGGGGCGGCACCGAGGTGACTCACGGTCACCCCCACCGGAATGTCGGTTCCGAAGCGTGCGGCGCCGGAGGCCGGAAGATCGCCCCCATCTGCATCTCTTGTCGCCATGGTCGGCGTTGTCGCTGTTATTCCTGCCACGCTTGCCCCCCTCGAGCCAGTCGCGGTCGTGCCAGGAGCTGGAGCTGGAGCTCCAGCCCTCTGACTGGTGGGAGCCATTTCCGGTGGTACTCTCGATGCGCCTCTCGCGGATGGCGCCCCAGTCGACGTAGAGCTCCAGCTTCCGATCCATCTCGTAGGCGTCGCAGCCAGCTCTGCGCCAGGGCCCGGGAAGTTCCTGCGGGCCCCCACGCCATTAAGGCGGGGATTGATTGCTTTTGGGCTTCCCTTTGGCGCGAGGGAGCCCCTGCGCGCAGCCGTGCCAGATCCCGTCAAAGGTGCCTCCCAGGACTTTCTGGAGGCGCGCAATCCTGTCGGCGGGATGCTCCCCGGTCTGATCCAGGTCGACACTGCCCAGATGCTCTCGGCACATGGGTCCTCCCGTTGTGGGGCCACGGAGATTGTCGCAGGCAAAACGGGCGCTGCTGCCGCGAGGAGGGGGGGGTCGATGGGCGTCTGCTGTCGCCGAAGCCAGGGGGCGCCGTGCGCGGGTCTCTCGCCGGCGGCATGGCGCCTCCACGGCGGCAGCGTCTCTCCTCTGGGGCTGGCGGGCACGACGGCGTCCGCAGCCGCGGGCGTCGGCGAAACTTGGCCCCCAAAGGCACCAAGGGGGTCGTCGGACGGGCCAGGGCTAGCTTCCGGAGCAGCCCCCCTTCCTTCCTCGCGGCTGCCGACCTGCGCCAGCGGTGGCGGGTTGTCACGCTGCTGGGAGCCCTGCTCGCTCGGCGAAGGTGCTGCGGACGCTGGCGGCTCCTCGTCGAATCCGACATCGTCTTTCGGGGGGGCGGGGGGGCCGGGCACCTCTTCGCCGCAGTCAGCCTCGCCGCTGGGCACGTGGTCCACACGCCTGCCCTCGGGGGCTGCCGGACCTGCCACCGCGCCTTCCGGGCCAGGTCATCTGGAACGTGGAACGGGGGACCTCGAAGGGCCGCCCCGGCCAGCGCGGCGCCCCGCGCGGCGCTCCCGCGGTGACTCGCCGGTCTCTGCCTCGGGGGAGAGCCAGGCCCCCGCTCTCCCACCCGCAGCAGCCTCTGGAGCAGTCTCGCTGTGCTTGCTCGCGACTGGGTCCTGGAGCGCAAGCTTGGCGATGGCGGCTGTAGCGCAAGCGCCCGCGTCAAGGCCCCCCAGGAAGCCAGCGAGTACTTCGCGCTCGTGCCGGAAAGGGCTGGGCCGCTTGTCCCGCGCCAGGGAGGAGTAGTGTTTCTGCCAGGCCTCCTTGTGGAGTGGATTGCTGGCGAGGTGCTTCACCGCCCTGGCGGCTGCCCAGCGCCCGCCGCCCCAATCGACGCGGGGCGGCAGACCGTCTGCAGGAACCCCTGGACCGCACATCATTGCCAGGAAGGGTACTAGGTTTTTAGCCGGCCAGGAAGTTTCGTGATCCCTCGGCCCGGGGATGTCACTGCCGTGGTCTACCACGAACTTCTGCCAGAGCGGTTCGACGTCGGGGTGAAGTCACGGAGGTAGGTAACGAGGGCGCGCTGCACATCTCGCACCTTGTTGGAACGACTGCGCTTCTGCACGACGTCTGCTGCCTGGCGCATGTCCACGACTCTCCTCGAGCTGAGCAAGGGAACGCTGGGCGGGGAGAGGTCGGGCAGGAGGGTGAGTAGGTCCGACGCTGTCCTGATTGGCGTGCCGCGGCCGTTACCGCCGATAGTCGCTCCTCTGGTATCCCGTGAGCCCCGAGCTGCAGGGTCTCCGGGCGCCTGTCCTCGGCGGTGGCGTGAGCGCGCCTGGAGGGCAGCTGGTCTGCGACGTCCAGGGCGGCTTGCTCCTCGATGCCCTGGCGCGGCCTCTTAGGCGGGTCCACTGGGTAGACCTTTTGGGAGTCAAGATCAAGGGTGCAGTCTAGGGCGCCGGGTGCGATGTCCCATATGTAGACGAGGCACCTCCTGCAGCACCACACGGCGTTCCATTTTCGCCCCTGCCAGGCGGACTGCCACTGATCACAGGGAGGGAATCCAGAGTAGTCGTCGGCATCAGCGCCTGCCTCGGGCCGCCACGGGAAGCAGCCGAGGGCGGGGCGCGTGACCCTCCACAGCAGGCCCCACAGAGCCATCTGCAGTTCTTGCCAGAGAGGTACGCCTGAGGGCGGTTCTGCGCCAGGAGCTCACGGGCCTCGTCGCCCCCCCAGGTCCCCAGCGTCGACTTGAGGCGGGCTCTGCCGCAGCCATCGCAAGTGAACTTTGCGTCCTTCTGCACTGTTTCCAGCCGGCCGCCCTCCATGAAC